TTTTCCTTCCTCCTTTCTTCCTGGGGGATGTTTATCTTGGAGAAGCGAAGTTGGAGAGGGAACATGAGAACCATATTTCAAGATTTCAAAGGATGTCCCATGGAGGAGGAGGAGAGGGAAGAGGGGGGAACCTGACTTTCTGCTGCTCTAGAGACCAGGGCACAAGGGAGGAATGGGTTCAGATGGAAGGGAAATAAAGTTGACTGAAAAGATTATGAAGAACTTCCTGGAGAGTGCTATAGGCCACCTGGGAGAGTGGTGGACTCTCCTTCTATGGAGGCTTTTCCAAAGAGGCTGTCTATTGAGCGTGCCTTTTTGCATGGCAGGGGGTTGGACTGGATGACCCTAGAGGGTCTCTTCCAACTCTAGGATTCTATGATTCTATATCAGGAGTAGGCAATATGGGTCGAATGGATACACGTGTTCTCTCCCGTCCACCATCTCATCCTGACCAAGGCCAACCCTTTTGGGATCCAAACATTTCCCGTCTTTCCTTGACTTTCTGCCTCAACAAGAGAAGAGGAAGGGGAGGAAAAGGCAGGGAGGGGACTTGGAGAGAACCCACTCTTTCCTGGCCCATTCTGGCCTGCTATGCAGCCCCCAAGTTACAAAGTTTGCCCATGCCTAGTTTCACTGCATTGAAGTGGATTACACCCTGCCATGTAATACATATCAAAGCAGTTAACCGGCATTACATGGCAGTGTACAGATGCAGAGATCTGACTCGGGTGTCGCTCCAGTTTTGGTCTGGATCTCAGCATCCTTGCGCGGCGGAACTCGTCACTGCTTCTCAAATCCAACGGAGTTAAACACTCTCCTCTTCTTTTGTGATGCTGTAATCCGTGAGGAAAGTGACGCTGATTTCAGAGCCAGTCACCGACATCGTCCTGGTTGGCGTATAGTTCTGGGTGATGCTCGGGCGGCGTGTGGCGGGGGCCTTGCGCTTACAGCACATCACCTCCTTCTTGAAATGCTGGCGGAAGCCCTTGCTGAGCCAATAGAGCGCAAAAGGGTTGACGCAGGAGTTGCTGAAGGCCAAGGCCCGGGAGAAGATGGTGGCCACCAAGTGGAAAGCAGAGGTGTCGATGGAGGCGTGGTACGTGAAGGAGCGGTACAGGTAGAGGATGTGGTTTGGGAGCCAGCAGAGAGCAAACAAGCCGACCAAGACCAGGACTGTTTTGGCAACCCTCTTGCGGGATTCGATCTGGAAAACACATCCATCATCATCAGTGACCCCAACAGTAATGATCTACCCATATTTATTCAAATCTAATGCTCACCTTGTTGGGCTAAATTGATGAGGAGATATTGGAAAAATAGATATCTATTTATGCATAAATTGTATGTACTTTACAAGCACTGAAATGTATAGAAAAATCAGGTTCTCTCTCTGTATTAGAAAGAATGCCAAAGGAGATCTGTGTCCAAGGCATGGGCAGGAGGGAGGAAAAGGGGGGCATGTTATCTATACATTCCAGAGAGAGAGAGACTGGTACTAAGTAAGGAGAGCCTATATCTCCTTTCTCCTGACAACTCAAAGTAGGCCCCTTGATTGATGAATATAAGCTGCATGCTTGCTCTTTAGAAAGACACAGAGACATGCCTTTCGTATGTTGAAAGGTAGAATTTGATATTCCTATGATGCTAAAATGACGCAGAGAATGATGTCAATGTATGTAGAAGCATGTTCTTTGTTTGACTGCAATTGGAGGATATCAAAGCCATAGTCAACGCCTATATCGGGGCTCTGGTGCTTTTGGACACAACTCCTCACCGGAGTCCCAGCTGGAAATAAAACCCGTGCTTTTGAGACCTCCGGACCTCTCTTTGTCTCTTTTCCTCAAACCTTTCCCCTGCCATTTCAAAATGATCTTGCCAGAATCAGGATGTTAATTAGATTCGCATCATAAAGTGATCTTAGTGTTGAGCCAAAACCAAAGGGGAAGCTGCTTCAGGAGCTTCTCTTTGAGAGACTGCATCTCTAATTAAATTGCCAGGCTCAATGGATCCTGGGATTTGTAGTTTGGTAAGGTACCAGCACCCTTTCGCAGAGAAGGCACATGGCCTTATTTATTTATGTACCTTATTTATATCCCGCCTTTCTCTACCGCGAGGGAGTTTCAAGGTGGCTTACAATCGCACCTCCATGGTCCCTTAAAGCATACCACATCAGCTAAAACATTAAAACAACTAAAATGATAAAGGGTCTGGAGAACAAGCCTTATTGGACTGGATGGCCCATGAGGTCTCTTTCAACTCTAGGATTCTATGATTCTATGATTCTATGAATGCATAAATATAATAAAAATACATTTCAATGAATCATGTCATCCAGAGTCATAGTCTAAAGGACAATCCATAGTCAAATTACACATATTCCATACTAACATTCCTCCATCTCATTCTGACCAAGGCCAACCCATTGGGATCCAAACATTTTTCAAACGCCTTCTCCCAGATCCAGGTTTTGACTCTCTTTCTAAGCACTAAGAGTGTGGGGCTGTCCTGATATCACTAGGAAAAGAGTTCCACAACCAAGGGGCCACCACTGAGAAGGCCCTGTCTCTCATCCCCATCAACGACGCTTGCAAAGAAGGTGGGACCAAGAGCAGGGCCTCCCGAGAGAAGCAGAAAACAAGCTTGCTCCCTCCTCCCTGTAACTTCCTCTCACATATTCCTCTCACATTCCTCTATCATATCTCCTCTCATCCTTCTCTTCTTCAGGCTATACATGCACAGCTCCTTAAGCCGCTCTTCATAGGGCTTGTTCTCCAGACCTTGATCATTTCAGTCGCCCTCCTCTGGACACATTTCAGCTTGTCAATATCTCTCTTCAACTGTGGTGCCCAGAATTGGATGCAATATTCCAG